AATTATCCCTGAGTTAGGGATGAGCAATAACGCTGCTTATAATTTTACCAGCTACAAAAAACAGAAATTGGCACTATGAAAACTATGAAAACTGTAGGAAGGAAAATTCTCAAGTTTAATTTTCTTGACTTTCTATTATGAGGTTCGCTTAATCTGGTGATACTTTAGATTAAATTTATGATTATTTATTAAGAGCTGAGATCATTTCCAATGTGATAACAAAAGTGCATTTAAAACCTTTGGCTAACTCAGGGATAATTTGCTACAATCTAAAACCGGACCTCTGTCATACAGAAATGTAGAAATGTAATGCTCAGATGTGGATTTCATTCCCCCAAAAAGATATGAGAGCTGAGGCACCTGCGTTAGTCTGTACTATCCAGAAGAGACAGCACTAGATGGAAAATCCTTCTGAGATTGATGCAGGGTGGGGCGGCACTGACCTTAAGGCTGAGGATTCTCATAGAAGCCAGGGCTAGGGAGATGAATTACTCAGATGGACACACAAAGTGGTGACTTTTAACACAGTTTAGACAAAAACCTCCGAACATTAAACCACAGTGCTGCACTGTTGTCTAGGACTCACAGCTGGAAGGGAAAATACACAGGAAGATGAGACTTGCTACCAGTAATTCACTGACCCTAACACAGCAATGTGAACATTGGTGAATGTCCAAATATATCCCTGCGTCATGATCTGGAACCTAGTAGCTTCTTTCTCTGAGGTGCAGAGAACATTTCACTTAAATTCTTTCTGAAACAATGTGCAGAGCCTGCATTGCATTCCTTACACTAAAGCCTCCTGCCAGCAACCAAAGTCTCTGACTGCCATGTCTCCTGGGTATAAGTCACCAGCAGTTGTGTGATGACCTCTCCTGAAGATAACTGACACAAAGAACTCATCAAAAGCGCATATTCAAAGTCAGCTTTTGAAGGACAAAAACACACTACGCATCAAATTTGACACGAACTTGGAAAGGGGAATTTGTTTTCTCTGCAAAACTTTTTGTTAGAGATTAAAATCAAATGTCCATTTAAAAATAATAACTTGGATAGTGTGCTTGCAGACAGAGCAATTGCAATACACAGGGATTAGTCACCAGTGTTAATATAATAATAATAATATTAATAGGAATAAATAATAGGAAGACAGCAGCATGACCCACTGGCCTAGGTGATAATGACCATATCATTTGCCAGGAAGGAAAAGGAAATCACCCATCCACAGCTAATCCATATGCTACAATAGGGCAGTGCAAAACAAAATTGTAACCCAACAGATGTCCAGAAAACTTGGGTCAAAATCCCATGAATACAATTATATTGTGACTTTAAAGGCATGAGGTTCACAGATGTAAATGGAAAGTTTAAAATTTTGTAGGTTTGTTTTGTATAGAGCAAAAGGGTTTCCCTGAAGGGAGGGTGACTGGGCTACACTTGCATTCACCTGCAACTACTGCATAACTACCAAAAGCTGTCAGCTTCATGCATGGAAAAAATGCATGATTTATCCCACAGAAGCCCACCATTTAGAGCACATTTATCAGGCTTTAAAATCTGATAAACCACAAATTCTTAAACAATAGGTGTTGAAACACAAAAACTTGGATAAATGTATAATTGCTATCCTATGTTTCTACTGCATCTCACGTATGATTTTGTTTTTATTTTCAGCTGCATGAACAATTTCCCTCCTCAAAATGATAATGGCAAACACAACCACAGTGAGTGGCTTCCTCTTCCTGGGGTTCTCTGACAACCTGGAGATGCAGATGCTACATGCTCTGCTCTTCTTGGTGATGTACCTTTTGGGCTTGGCAGGTAACTTCATCATCATCACCATCACGATGCTGGACCCTCAGCTCCAATCTCCAATGTATTACTTCCTGAAGCACCTGTCCCTTCTCGACCTCTCCTCCCTGTCTGTCACTGTTCCCCAATCCATCCACAATTCCATGACTGGCAGTGGATACATTTCCTATGCTCAGTGTGTGCTTCAGGTTTTCTTCTTTACCTCTATGGCCTGGGGTGAGGTAGCCATTCTCACAGTGATGTCCTATGACCGCTATGTGGCCATCTGCCTTCCACTGCATTATGAGGTCATCATGAGTCCTAGAAAGTGCAGGTGGGCTGTGACAGCTGTGTGGATAAGTGGAGGCATCACAGGAACCTTGTGCACAGCAACCACGTTCTCTATCAGATTCTGCAGGGCCAAAATAATCTATCAGTTCTTCTGTGATGTTCCCCAGCTGCTCAAGCTCTCCTGTTCCAATGATTACCTTGCAGGGATTGGAGCAGTTGCCTTCATTGCTGCCATGGCACTCGCCTGTTTCATCGCCATTTGCCTCTCCTATGTCCAGATATTCTCCACAGTCCTCAGGATGCCCTCTGCTGAAGGTCGGTCTAAGGTCTTCTCCACCTGTCTGCCCCACCTCTTTGTGGTCTCATTTTTTCTCTCTACTGGAACCTGTGCATATCTCAAGCCAACCTCAGACTCAACAACTGCTCTAGACCACCTGCTTTCTGTCTTTTACACAGTACTTCCCCCAACACTCAACCCTGTTATCTACAGTCTGAGGAATGAGGCCATGAAGACAGCTGTAAGAAAATTACTGCTAGATGGGGAATTTTTTAGAAAAAGATCATTTTAATTTTGTTC